AGTATACTGGGTAGGTAATTGTGATTTGAATTGTCTGAGGGAATTTGATTAGTTATATATGAAAGTGGTATTAAATGTTTTAAAAGGACTAATCTGTTAAACTTATGAGTTATTATACATTAGTCAAAGAACAAGTGAAATTGAGGTTTCTATTTTTAGCCAAAATTTCAGAAATAAAATAAGATCTTTCCATTTTTCTTACTATGTTAAGTAAAGCTATTTTTAAAATGTATAAATTTAATAAATATTCATCAAAATCTAGAAAATAACAGAGAATTTCTTTTCATGCATGAAAGCCTGCCCCTCCATCTCCAGATGTTACTTACCTATCACTTCAAAATAAGAGAAGATAGTATAAACATTGAAAAGTGAAAAGCGAATCATACTGTTTGAGAACAATATGCCTATGTAGAAATGTAAGATAATACAAAGAAAAGCTAGATGACCAGAGACCATATAATTAGGATACAATATTTAGGGCAAGGCAGACTAGTTCTGAGGTTTTGCAGAAGAGTGTGAGATGAGTTTGGAATGGACCAGAATGTGGGCAGAAGTGTATGGAGAAATGTTTTTGAGAACAGTCAGCCCTTGGTTACAGGCAAGATATGGAACATAGGGAAAAGGAACTTTCATGGATGGCTCCATGAGTCCTGGCATAAGCAAATTTGGGGATGGGGTTTACTGAGATGAGGAAGAGTGGACTATGAGTGGGATCTGGCCATTAAGAGTTCAGCTGTAAAAATATTTGTTGAGATACCTGTTGGGTATTTCAATGAAAATATTGACTGATAACATACAAAGCTTGGAAAAATGATCTGGGCTGGCAATAGATGTTATTTCAAATCTGATGGGGAGGGGAGTTTGTTAGCTCACTCAGGAAGAAAGACAAGTATAGTGAGAAGAAAGGGAAGCCTATTTATAGTTTGTGACACATAATGGTAAATTAGTGGGCTGCAAAACCTATAAAAGTGTTACATCTTATATGATGGATTTAAACTGCATTCTGAACTTAATTTATTAGACAACACAGATTATTTTGATGTGTAAGAAACATTTTTCTTTATTTAGAGAGTATTTATTAAGCTACTTATGAGAATGGCACTATGCTATTAATGTGCTGTATAAATTAATTTAAACAAGCACAGTCTGTACCTTCTGTCAGGTTTAAAATACTCTCCCTCCTCCGCTTCACACATGGAATTACAAAGCCAGAAGGGACCTCAAGTCCATATAGTCTGAGCCCTAGTCTCTTATCTGGATCTCTTGTGTAGTATTTTGACAAGTGGTGGTTGACCTTTTGCTTGAACACCTGCAGTGATAAGGAATACTCACATTCATTCAACTTTATATTCTTTTAATTATTTCCTATAATTGTTTCTTAAAAATTTCCTCACACTGAACTGAAACATTCTTCTCTGCATCTTCCAATCCTGATTCTTATTTTGCTTTAAGGGGCCATCTAGAATATAAATCTTGCAAATATTTAATGATTATTAGTGAGTTCTCTCATATATTGTCACAACTTCAACATGCAACGTGGCAGATTTCTGAGTCCTGTCTAGTTCTCTGATCCCTTTCTGCTATCATTTCTCTAAAATGTGACTCCCTGAGTGAACCCCAGTACTGTGGATGTGAACTGACCAGTGCAAATTTGGTCCTACTATGGTCCATCTTGTTTGGACACTGAATTTCTATTAATGTAGCTCAAGATAACTTTGTATTTTTTTTTTTTTTTTGAGCACAACTACATTACAGTGTTATCTCATACTGGAGCTTCAAATCTATTAAAACCCTTTTATGTGCCAGCTGCTAACCATACCTGCTCCCTCTAGAACTGGTACATTTGATTTTTTTAAACTTAATTATAGGGCCTGGCTGTTATCCTGTGAAATTTCATCTTTTTAATTAGGCCAACCCTTTCAGCTTGTCAAGAATTTTTTACAGCCTGGTTTTGTCTTTTAGTACATTTGTTGGTATTAACCTGAAATTTTGTAAGCAAAGCTGACATTCTTGTTCAAGTAATTTTCGTATACGTTCTTTATCTTGTGCTTACAACACCAGGTGCAGTGTTTATGAAAGATCTTTCCAGTCCCTGGAGGCAGGGTAGCACCTGATAGGAAAGTGGGATGTGAGTTCCAGTTCAACCACACTAGCTGTGCAGTTTGGGCAAGTTCTGTCACTCTCTTTGCCTTTTTTTCCTTATCTATAAAACAGGAAGAGTAATAAGTGCCTTGTGGATTTTGTTCTGAGAGGAAAGAATAATTCCCATAAACCACTTAGCACAGCTCATGAATAAGATGGGTCTTGAGTATTAGGTTTTGGTTTTAGTAATTCCTTTCCAGTTGGGGGTCTGAGGTCTGGCAGGTTTAACTCATTTGTCCAAGGTGACAAACCAGTCAGAGAATGAATCAGGACTTAGTCTGCAGGTGCTAAAGCCAGAAATCATTGGATTCTAACTTTGCCATTTGCTAATTACGGAACTTTGGATTAGTTACTTAAATCTGCTTACCTTCAGTTTTCTCATGCACAAAGTGGAGAATTTAGTATATCAATCTTATCATTAGAAGAATTCAATGTATAACATGAATAAAACCCATAATGTCTTCCTACACAAAAGATAATCCCCTTTCCTATCTTTCTTAATGTATTTCTAACTGAAACCCATGGGAGTTAAATTGGATAAGATACGAGAAGCATTTAGGGTATGGTATGGCACATAGAATGCATTCAACAAATAAGAGCTAATTTGACAACGTGTTATATCTATGGGATTTGAGGAAATAAGAGACAATTTCTGGGTGATTCTCCTATTGTTTAATTAACATAAAATATAGTTTCACAGTGATTTAATTAAAAAAAATTTTTTTTTCCCAACATTTATTTATTTTGGGGACAGAGAGAGACAGAGCATGAACGGGGGAGGGGCAGAGAGAGAGGGAGACACAGAATCGGAAACAGGCTCCAGGCTCTGAGCCATCAGCCCAGAGCCTGACGCGGGGCTCAAACTCACGGACCGCGAGATCGTGACCTGGCTGAAGTCGGACGCTTAACCGACTGCGCCACCCAGGCGCCCCTAATTTTTATATTTTAAAACTTAAGTGTTTTAAATTAAAAAATATACCATTTGAGGTAAAAGAATCAAGTGATATTTACATTGTTGAGGTCCTGTAGAAGTTGAGAAGAGTGAAATGGCAAAGTTGACTGTTGAACTCAGAAAAGATTTATGACAGAAGGTCCACTTAGGATGGGCTGTCTTTTTACAAATGGATATTGTTTGAAATATTTTATCAAAGGAACTACCCACTGGGGCACCGGTGTGGCTCGGTTCGTAAAGCATCAGACTCTTGATTTTGGCTCAGGTTATGATCTCACGTTTCATGTGTTCGGGCCCCCCATTGGACTCTGCACTGAAAACACGGAGCCTGCTTGGGATTCTCTATTTCCCTCTCTGTCTCCCTCTCCCCAGCTTGTGTGCACACATGTGCTCTCTCTCTCTCTCTCTCTCTGTCTCTCTCTCTCTCTCATAATAAAAATCATTTATTTAAAAAGTACCCATAAAGATTTAAAGAGAACTACTTTGCCTTTAACATGTAGAGGCAATTGCCAAATTATCAATGGGTTGGTGGGGAGGAACAGACCTGAAAGAGAATTTAAACTTTTATTAATTAAATAGGTACCTGGTAAACATTGATTTAAATGGATTTTAACAAAAAATGAAGTTACATTTCTGTACACATGGACTTACATATGAACTTTACTAGGGTAAAGATGTTCAAGCAAATATCTCCGGTTTCTTTCTCAGGCATTAAGCTCATGTGGAGACAGGTATGGAATTAGTAGTAGCATCTATACTGTATTTAATGAGTGTTTACTATGTACCAAGCACCATCCTTTATGTGCATTTAATTTTTTTTAATGTTTCTTTAATTTTGAGAGAGAGACGGAGCACGAGGTGGGGAGGGGAAGAGAGAGGGAGACACAGAATCCGAAGCAGGCTCTAGGCTCTGAGCTGTCAGCACAGAGCCCAATGCCGGGCTCAAACTCACAAACCACGAGATCGTGACCTGAGCCAAAGTTGGATGCTTAACCGACTGAGCTACCCAGGTGCCCCTATCCTTTATGTACATTTAATCCTCACAAGAAACCTGTGGGAAGATACAGTTATTATTTTCATTTCACATGGGAGGAAATGAGGCTCAGAAAGATTAAATACTGTTTTGGAGGCCACATAATGAGTCAGTGATGGAGCTGACATTGACTGAGAGAGTCAGATTTAAGAAATTGCTCTTAGTCATGTGAATATGGGAAAGACTCCTACCCAGCCAGAGAGGAGAGGTCATGGAGAGTGTTATGCCCAGAATTCGTGATCCCCAAAGAACACCAGGGAGCCGAGTCTGATGCAAAAGCAAAGAGCCTTTATTCGAGCTAGCTCGAGCTCAATCCCCTACCTGCACCGACGCAGCAGTGAGATACCAGGGAAAGAGAGCGAGTTTCAAAAGGACAAAGGTTTTTTTGGGGCCTGGGGGCAGTTGGTGAGGTAATGGCTATGGCCTCAGCCGATTGGCTGGGGAAGGGTCCTGGGGAAGGGTCCGAGTCCTGTTAGGCAGGTGAGGGGGGGTTTACTCAAGGGGAGGAGGAGTGGTCAAGGTGAAGGACACGGAACAGGATGGAGTCGGCCAGCATAGGCCTGCCCTTTCATTCCCCCTTGTCATGTAGCTTAGGGACCCAATCATGGGACCGGCTGCATTTATGGTGACAAGGGAAACAGAGTTTGGAGGTTTACACAAAGTTCTGGGAAGCAAGTGTCCCTGGGGTGGCTCTGGGAGGTCTGATTAAGTATTGTCCCTGAGCTGGTGTCTATGATCTGCCAGGTGATGTTTGTGGGGGCGTGGGGACTCCCGGCAGCATGAGCAATGACAAGCAGAGTTAACAGAGTTACCAATATTAGGTAGGTCAAATGCGCTGTAGCTTGAGCTTGAGCGGGTTGTGTTGGTCCCGACTGATGGCCCATCGCGTGACAACGTCCTTCTGGATAGAGGAGGGGTCCGCTGGCTGAGCGTGGGTGTGATGGACCCAGGTCGCGATGCCGTCTACCTTGAGAGCGGTGGGGGTTGTCAACACCACGATGTAGGGTCCCTTCCAGCGCGGCTCGAGAGTCTTGGTGGTGCCTCTTGAGGTAGACCCAGTCTCCCGGCCTGTATTGATGAGGTGTCGGGATCGGGCCAGCCTCGTAGATGGCACGGAGGCGCGGCCAAATGTCCTCGTGCGCCCTCTGGAGCCCGCTCAAGGAAAGAAAAAGTTCTTGATCTTTAAACTCAGCAATAAGTTCAGCTCGAAGGCTGGGAATAACAGGGGGTGGCCTGCCAAACATGATCTTAGGGAGTAAAACCCAGAGTGTAAGGAGAGTTTCTAACCCGGTAAAGGGCGTACGGTAGGAGTCACCCAGTCCCCACCAGTCTCCATGGTTAATTTGGTAAGGGTCTCTTTTAGGGTTCTATTCATTCTTTCTACCTGTCCTGAGCTCTGGGGCCTATAAGCACAATGTAATTTCCAGTTTGCCCCCACCGCCTCGGCTACTGCCTGTGTTACCTGCGAGATAAAAGCTAGTCCATTGTCTGATCCTACCATGGCAGGAAAACCATACCTGGGTAAGATGTCTTTTAGCAGCTTCTTAGCCACCGTCTGAGCCGTTTCATGCTTGGTTGGGTATGCCTCCACCCAGCCAGAGAAGGTGTCTGTAAATACTAAAAGATATTTAAAACCATACTTTCCTGGTTTGACTTCAGTGAAGTCGACTTCCCATTGGGCTCCCGGTCTGGTGCCTCTGAGCCTGGTTCCTTTTTTACTTGATGTGGCCCTCGCGTTGGTGAGTTGGCAGGTCTTGCAGGCAGATACAGCTTGCTCTATTTTGGTGTCCTGTTGGTGAATCTTAATTCCGGCATGTCGGATTAAGTCTTTTAATTTTCGGGCCCCCATGTGAATAGACCAATGCATGTGCTCTAATATTGAGACTCTGAGTTGGTCTGGCAACACGAGCTCCTTGTTAGGTGTATACCACCATCCCTTTATCTCCTGGGCCATAGGGAGTTTCTTGATCCACTGTAACTCCTCCTGGGAGTATTTGGGCTGGTCTGGTAAAACTGGGTCTCCCGGGTCTGGTAGTTGTATGGTCATGGTGGGGACTGGAGTAAGGGCTACTGCCTTGGCTGCCTGGTCAGCCTTTCGATTACCTCTAGCTACTGGGTTATCAGCTTTTTGGTGCCCTTGGCAGTGGATAATGGCTAGCTTGGCAGGAAGCCATAAGGCTGCAAGCAGGTTAAGTATCTCCTGCTTATTTTTTATAGTCTGTCCTTCTGCTGTCAGTAACCCCCTCTCCTGATAAATTGTCCCATGAATATGAGCTGTGGAAAATGCATAACGGCTGTCTGTGTAGATGTTAAGCTGTTTTCCAGCTCCCAGCATCAGTGCCTTGGTGAGGGCTATGAGCTCTGCTCGCTGGGCTGACGTTCCAGAGGTTCGAGCCTCCGCCCATACGGTGTCCGTTTAGGTGACCACCGCTGCACCCGCATACCTGTGTCCGTCTTGCACAAAGCTGCTGCCACCAGTGAACCAAGTAGCCTCAGCATCGGGGAGGGGCCGGTCGGTCAGGTCCATCCGGAATCCATGTACTTGTTCCAGGATTCCCGCACAGTCATGTAATGGAGCACCTAGGTCAGGGTCGGGCAGCAGGGTTGCAGGATTGAGGGCTGCACTGTGGTGGAACCGCACTCGTGGAGGGTTGAGTAGGAGGCTCTGGTAATGAGTCATACGTGTATTGCTCATCCATCTATCCGTAGGCTGTTTCAGGACCCCTTCAATGGCGTGTGGGGTCGTGATCCAGATCTCCTGTCCTAGTGTCAGTTTGTCTGCATCCTTGACTAGGAGTGCTGTCGCTGCAATAATTCTTAGGCATGGCGGCCAGCCGGCAGCCACTGGGTCTAGTTTCTTAGACAGGTAAGCCACTGGACGGTTCCAGGGGCCTAAGGCTTGAGTTAGAACCCCTTTTGCTATTCCCTTATGTTCGTCTACAAAGAGGTGGAAGGGCTTTGTAATGTCTGGTAGGCCCAGGGCTGGGGCACTTAGGAGGGACTTTTTTAACTGATTAAAGGCAGTTTCTTCTTTTTCAGCCCATTTAAATGTTTTCCCCTCTTTGGTAGCTTCATATAGGGGCCTGGCGATCTCAGCAAAACCTGGAACCCAGAGGCGGCAGTAGCCGGCTGATCCTAGGAATTCCCTCACTTCTCTTCGGGAGGTGGGAGTAGGGATCTTTAGGACAGTTTCTTTTCTGGCTTCTGATAACCGCCGCTGTCCGCCCTCCAGGATATATCCCAGGTAACTTACCCTCTCCCTACATATCTGAGCCTTCTTCGCGGATGCCCGGTATCCTAAGGCCCCCAGGGTAGCCAGCAGGTCCTGGGTCCCTCGCTCACAGTCTTTGGCTGTGTCGGCAGCAATCAGGATGTCATCTACATACTGTAGAAGGGTGAGGCCAGGGTGCTCCCTTCTGTACTCACCCAGGTCCTCGTGTAGTGCCTCGTCGAAGATGGTGGGTGAATTGTTGAATCCCTGAGGTAGCCGAGTCCAGGTGAGTTGCCCACTGTAGCCCTCCTCCGGATCATGCCACTCGAAGGCTAACAAGGGTTGGCTCTGGGGTGCCAGCGGCAGACTGAAGAAGGTGTCCTTTAAATCTAGTACAGTATACCAGACCCTGGAGGGCGCTAAGGAGCTCAAGAGAGTATATGGGTTGGGAACAGTTGGGTGTATGTCCACGACCCTCTTATTTACTTCCCGGAGATCTTGTACCGGTCGGTAGTCATTTGTGTGAGGCTTTTTGACCGGCAGTAAGGGGGTGTTCCAGGCAGACTGGCAAGGAACTAGTACCCCTAGGCTTCATAGTCTCCGGATGTGTGGCTGGATCCCCTTCCAGGCCTCCTGAGACATGGGGTATTGTTTGATCCTTACCGGACTCTCTCCTGGCTTGAGCTCTACCAGGACTGGGGTCCTGTGAGCGGCTAGTCCCATCCCCCCCGTCTCTGCCCAAACCGAGGGAAATTCTTGTAGCCATCTGTCTATATTATCCTCTCTCGGGAGCGCCTCCTGGTGGAGGAGGTATTCATCCTCCAGTTTCATGGTCAGGACCTGGATGGGGTGGCCCTTGCCATCGGTGACCTGAGGCCCCCCTTGTCTGAAAGTTATCTGAGCTCCAATCTTGGTCAGTAAGTCCTGTCCTAACAGCGGGTAGGGGCATTCTGGTATTACCATAAAGGAGTGGGATACCCGGCCAGTTCCCAAATCTACTGTTCTTCGGGTAGTCCATGAATACTGGCTCATACCAGTTGCCCCTTGTACCCAGGACTTCTTGCTAGCTAGTTTTCCTTGTGGGGTGCAGAGGACCGAATGTTGTGCTCCGGTGTCGACAAGGAAGTCAATAGGGGTCCCCTCCACTTTAAGAGTTACCCTGGGTTTGGGGAGAGGGTCCGAACCCTGACTCCCCTAATCACTTAGTTCATCCAGCTCTAGGACTTTTACTCGATCAGTCTTGCTTCCCTTCCCGCCAGCTCTTTTTGGACAATCTCGGGCCCAATGCCCTATCTCCTTGCAGTATGCACACTGATCCTTCTGCAGCCTCTGCTTCCCCCCCTTGGTGGTGCTTTTACCTTTTCTTGTGTTGTCTGCCAGCTGCTGGAGACGGCGGTCTCGTTCCTCGGGGAAGTCAGCAGTGGTAGCTAGTAGTATTCTGGCCAGGTCTCGAGTCTGCTTACTGTTGGCAGCTGCCATGGTGCGAGCCTGCTTGTCCTCAGGAGGCTCCCAGTTATTATATACCTTTTCGGCTACCACCAGTAAGTCCTGCAGACTTTTTTCTCCTAGTCTATCTATTTTCTGTAATTTTCTCCTAATGTCTATGGCCGATTGGTTTACAAAGGCCATGATAACAGCTGCCTTGCTTTCCGGAGCCTCTGGATCCATGGGGGTATAGGTACGGAATGCCTCCATGATCCGTTCTAAAAAGGCAGCCGGAGATTCATCTTTTCCCTGTTGTACATTTCCTACCTTGGCCAAATTGGTTGGCTTTCTAGCAGCCATTCGGAGACCCCCCATTAGAGTCTGGCGGTAGACCCGGAGCCTCTCCTTACCTTCTGCCATGTTGAAATCCCACTGGGGTTGAGTTAAGGGGAAGGAGGCATCTATCTGAGCCTGGTTGGTGGTGGGATTCCCGTCTGCGCCTGGAACTAGTTTTTGGGCCCCACTGAGGATTCTTTCTCTTTCTTCAGTCGTGAACAGGACCTGCAAAAGCTGCTGGCAATCATCCCACGTGGGCTGATGGGTAAAAAGAACAGAGTCTAATAAATCAATAAGCCCTGCCGGTTTCTCGGAAAACTTAGGATTCTGAGCTTTCCAATTGTAGAGGTCACTAGTGGCGAAAGGCCAATAGTGATGGGGCTGATTCCCCTCCGCATCTGGGGGTCCGGTGGCTCGCAGGGGCAGAATAGTGGAGTCCGCGGTGGAGGCGGATTGCCCCCTCTGAGCCCTTTGTCTGGTAAAGGGCAGGCTTCCCCCTGGAGCGTTTCCGCCTCCCACTCTCGGAACAGCGTCTGCCTCCCCCGGAGGGGGAGGATGGTGTTCTTCCGGCATCCTAGAGGGGTTATACGGGGGAGGAAAAATTAATTCTTCTTCAGTACCCCCCTGTAGGATAGGGTAGAGGGGTGCTGAAGGCTGGGTAAGACTTTTCCTCTTCTCTGTTTCCTGCAAAGCAAGAATGGGTTTTGGCTCCGGAGGGAGCAGGGTTAGGAAGGGCTTAAGCCAAGAGGGTGGGTCTTCTACAAGGTCCTGCCAAGTGATAATGTAAGGGAGCTGATCAAGATGGCCCGTCGTAGGCTGAGAGATGATACTCCTGATTCGGTGGATGGTAGGGAGGTCGATCCCCTCTGGTGGCCATCCGACATTGAAAGTTGGCCACTCGCTAGAACAAAAAAACTGCAACCGACCCTTTCGGACTTCCACACTGAGGTTGTTAGCTCTTCCCCTCACATCCTTAAAGTGATCAATCATAATACTTAGAGGAGTAGTCTGAGTCTGTCCCATAACGTCCGTCCAGTAAGTCCACAGAACAAAACAGAGAAGCACAAAAACAGACAAACAGAGGGCCCCTAGAAAGTCTTCCAACTCCATGGAAGCAAAACTGCAAGCTAGCTTAGACCTTTGAGGGGATTCCATGTCCCTCCAAAACCGATGAGGGGATTCCACATCCCTCCAAAGACGACGGCCTCATGCCGACCAGCGGGAGCGACCCGCCTCGTCTCAGACCTTTGAGGGGATTCCACGTCCCTGCAGAAGGGAGAATCGGAACGTCTTCCGAAACTCCCGGCCCATGGTCCTCCAGTGCGTCCACTTAGACCGCGTCGGGCACTACCAGAAATCCAGAAATGAGCTCACACAGAAAAGACAGAACAAACAGACACTAAACGTGGCCAGTCAGGCTCTCTGGGTCGGGGGTCCCTCGGGGGTCTTGGGGATCCTGGACGAGCCCCCAAATGTTATGCCCAGAATTCGTGATCCCCAAAGACCACCAGGGAGCCGAGTCCAATGCAAAAGCAAAGAGCCTTTATTCGAGCTAGCTCGAGCTCAATCCCCCACCTGCACCGATGCAGCAGTGAGATACCAGGGAAAGAGAGCGAGTTTCAAAAGGACAAAGGTTTTATTGGGGCCTGGGGGCAGTTGATGAGGTAATAGCTATGGCCTCAGCCGATTGGCTGGGGAAGGGTCCTGGGGAAGGGTCCGAGTCCTGTTAGGCAGGTGAGGGGGGGTTTACTCAAGGGGAGGAGGAGTGGTCAAGGTGAAGGACACGGAACAGGATGGAGTCGGCCGGCGTAGGCCCGCCCTTTCAGAGAGAAGACAGGTTTGAGAGACTGCTGGATTGACCAAAGGTCAGTCTTTGACCAAGTCTGAATTTTGGTCTGATGTGATGGTATATAATTCTTTCAACATAAATACTGAGCAGCCTTAGGGAGTTTGGGCAACTATAATCTACTTCCTGTGTCTGTTTCTGTACATGAGTTCAGGCAGGAGAGAGAACAAGACATTTACAGGTTATAGTTGTGCTGCATTTTTGTGCATGATTCTCAAAGCTCTTCTGTTTGTGGCTTAATTCCCTCTAAAATGTAATTCAATCCTCCCCCCCTTTTTTTTTTTTTTTGGCATTTCTTGCGATTTTTTGTTTCTGTGTAAATGTCCTTGCCTTCTCTTCCTGCCCTGCTGAGTCTCAGGCAGCATGGCGAGCATCTGAGTTAACACTGCACTAGTCAACCAGATTGCTCATGGACAACCTGTCATTAGGGTGTCTTGAAAAACAGCCCCTTAGGGCTGAGTCTATTTGGGTATACATTGTGTTGCCTGGTACATATCTGCCATCAGAGTTTAGGAAAAAATAGTTAAAGGAAAGACAAAACTTTTTCCTTGAACCAGTTTCACTGCTTAATAAACACCACACAGCACCCATCTTCAGGTGAAGGCAGTGGGAGTACAGACTGGCTTCAACTTTATACCATGAGATATAAAGTGAAAATCAACTAAAGCAGAACACACACACACACACACACACACACACACACACACACACACCAAAAAACAAAAGCATGGAAAGAAACAAAAACCTGTTTCTTCTGCATACTGTACTGAAGAGACAGTGTGAACAAAGGTAACATTTTTACCTACAAATTGGACAAAGTTGGCATATTATGAATTTTATTGGCCCATGGAAATCTGGAACAATTAATGAGTTCAGAGTGAATTTACTCATTTACAACAGCTTAAATTTTTTACAAAGAGCTGGATTATTAATGATCATATAGTAAGATAAGTAGTATCTTACTATATAACTATATAACTAAATAACTATATGGTTATTAGTATTGGTTTCTTCCTGATGCTGAATTACTTTAAAAAAGTATTAGTTTTACAAACTAGTGTCACTGATAAGTAAGGTAATGACTAAAGCTGTGAAGAAATGTTTATATACTTTTCTTAGCTGAGATGCTCATTATCTGCTGGGGCAAGATTTTGATGAAATAGCTGGTATTTAAGCTATAATTTGCCTGAAAAATAATCTATCTACGTTTGATAAAAAGGTCTTACATATAATTCTTATAAAAATTCATAGTTTTTGCATAGTCAGAATATAAAGAACAGAAATAGCATGTAAATAGTACACATATTAATAACATGCAGTGACAGTAAAATGTATATATGACAATATTGTATAATAATTGAAGAAATTTTGAAAAAAAGAGCAAGAGGGGCACCTGCATGGCTCAGATGGTTGAGCATCTGACTTCGGCTCAGGTCATGAGCTTACGGTTCATGGGTTCAAGCCCTAGGTTGGGCTTTGTGCTGACGGCTCAGAGACTGGAGCCTGTTTCAGATTCTGTGTTTCCTCTTTCTGCCCCTCCCCTGCTTACGCTGTCTCTCTCGGTCTCTCAAAAATAAATAATAAAAAGTGGTTAAAAAAAGGCAAAAAAAAGCAAGGGAATCTAAGGAAAATAAAAATCACCAATAATCCTACCACTCAGAAATAAGCTTTTTTGGTGACTTGTAAATAATCTTTTCATAGTATATTTTTTAATTGTTAAATTTTTCACTTTTATTTTTTCTCTAGCTGTATGAAATATAATTGACAAGAATGGTATATATTTAAAATGTCAGTGTGATGATTTCATGTACATATACATTGTGAAATGATTACCACAATAAAGGTACTTTCATCTAATAAGTTAAAGTTAGTACAGTTTGATCAATATCTGCCTATTTCTCCCACCGTCCAGCCCTGGCAACACCTTTCTACTCTGTTTCCATGAGTTTGACTTTTTCTTAAATTCCACGTGTAAGTGAAATTATACAGTTTTGTTTTTCTCTGAATGACTTATTTCACTTAGCATAATGCCCTCATGTTTCGTCAACGTTGTCACAAATGGCAGGATTTCTTATTTTTTTTTTATGGCTGAATAATATTGCATTGTGGATATATACCACATTTTGTATATCTATTCAAATTTTGATGGACACTTAGGTTCTTCCCATATTTTGGCTATTATAAATAATGCTGCAGTGAACATGGGAGTACATATATCTATTTGAAATTCTAATTTCATTTCCTTTGGATATATGTCTAGAAGTGAAATTGTTGGATCATGTGGTAGTTCTATTTTTAATTTTTGGGAAACCTCCAGAATATTTTCCATATGACTATGCCAGTTCACATTCGCATGAATAGTGTACAATAGTTCCTTTTCTCTAGACCCTCACCAACATTTGTTATTTCTTGTCTTTTTGTTAATAGCCATTCTAACAGGAATGAGGTGATGTCTAATTACGGTTTTGATTTGCATTTCCCTGATGACTAGTGATGTTGAGCACGTTTTCAATAATCTGTTTGCCATTTGTATTTATTTGGGAAAATCTCTATTCTAGTACTTTGCCCATTATTCAATTGGATTATTTGTTGTTGGTTTTTTGTTTTGTTTGTTGTTTGTTTTTGGCTATTGAGGTGGATAAATGCCTTATATATTTTGAAAATTAACTCCATATCAGATATATGATTTGCAAATATTTTCTCTCATTGCATAGTCTACCTGTTCCCTCTATTGTTTCCTTTGCTGTGCAGAGCTTTTTAGTTTGATGTAGTCCCAGTTGTTGTTTGATGTGGTCTCTTTGTGCTTTCATTGTCTATGCTTTGGATGTCAAATCCAAAAATCATTGCCAAGACCAATATCAGGAAGACTTTC